CTTTACCACATTTTAGCATGAGTGTTAAATGATTGAATGTTTTACGCAGAGTCCGTGCGGACCAATGACTAACACTACCTCGATATGAAATACCATTGATGAAGTTTGAATTCATGCCCATGATGCAAAGCCAACCATTCAACTGTGTTGTGTTCAGGCGATTGAGCGTTTATGCATACTATATAGTCATTTACTTCCGTAAGAGGTCTTAATAATCCATGAGTTGTTCCTTCCATTTGCATCCAGAATTTATAACGCTAATAATTAATTTCGATAACGCTAATTGGCCACTGTGACTAGAAAATTTGTAAGTCCCCTCCACTTCTTTCATATGCTGCTTTCAGTGTCTGCGGATTGCCATTGTTAATCATTTGGAACTACTTTTCGTTTTTATATTCACTGCTGAAGAGAATTACAAATTTTGCAGTAAGGCTTATTAATTGGGCACTCTAAGGGAAATGTTCAGCATGAGAATTGAGGTTGCTGATAGTATTTATATTTGAGTAGAGCATGGTAAGCGATCATGCCGTCTACAAATAGCCAAAGAAACGATCACGTTTACATTGGACTGATGCATACCGTTGTCGCGATTCCTGCCATTAAAAACATACGCGTCGTTGGAAGCTTTTTTACACTGTGCTAGCGCTCGACACTAAACCGCCATAGCTCCTTAAAACTTCTGATACCTAGTTTAAGAAATGGAAAATTGCATTTTAATTGTACTGAAAGAATCCTAGATTAGAAATAGAAAATGTAGAAAAAGTAATTTTTTAACCTTTGAAATATCGGTGTTCCCAACTCTCTCATGATCGGGTTACTTCAGACAATCTGCTTTCCATGAAGCTGATGGTAGGGCGCTGGTCTCTGTCTATATGCTACTAGTTAACAAAGCTTTATTTTTAAGGCAGAATCGATGGCAGCTACATGACAAGCATAGTGTGTAGTCCCCTGCCTTCTTCCCACAAAATGTTGCTCTCTTTACAATCTCAGAAGAAAGAAGAGCAAGTAGCGCTGAGCGGATACTCAAACTCGGTACAGTTCCGTTCTGAGTCCGACACTCTACTGACTAAGCAACCTCGGTGTGACGCAACGTGTGGTAAATTTCTTGCTCAGGGTAATTCGTGGTTAAGAAAAAGATTTCTCTCCCTCGGAATCGAAGTCGGTGCCTCAGGATTTCGAAACCGTTCTTTTAGGCACGTGGCGCTACCTCAGAAATAGAGCCTTTGGTAGCATCCTATCTGTACGTTACTGGCGGCAGATTTTTCAAAGACCCTGATGTCTGTAGAATGGATAATTTTATATGCCTAAGTTTCAAAATTCCGCCCTGCTATACCTTGCACTTGTTTGCTCTCAACCAATAGACGTTCATTATCCAGAGGTTACGCATCATTTCCAGATTCGCCATCAGCCGTAGGCAGATATGCAGGTACAATGAAATATAACCCTGCTGTTCTGACATAACTACCACAAAAGCCTGTATCCCAATTCCTTTAGTAAATATTCATTTCAACTGCTGACACCGATTAACACTGCATTGAGATAATTCACTCTCAAGCTATTTCGTTGCAATGAATTAGTCTGATCTTACCGATGCAAATTTCATATGCCTTTCATTACATTCGGTGTATTTGTAAATGATGAAAAGCGTCGTTATATGCTTAGTTATGCGCTACTTTATACTATGAATGGATATGAGCACAGCGGACAGGATAAAGAGATAAATCAATAGATGGTAGCACAAGCAAACGTTCACGATATCATTTCCCAAGCGAAAAGTTACCGTTGCAAGAAAAACCGGTCATGTTTGACCACAGGGACACAAGCGGGGTCCCAACAGAGGGTAAAGAGTCAATAGGAAGGCCTCCAAATCGATGGCATGATAAACTGAAGAAATTCGTTAGATCAAGATGCATAAGAATCGCAGAAGACAGAAGTTCATGGCAAAGTCTTGATGAGGTCTCTAGTCAGCAATGGATAGAAAAAGGCAAATGATGATTGTCTCGACAGTCTGCTGCCGGTAGGTTTTAACGTATCAGGCAGAGGGAGAACTTCAGAGGCCAAACGTTCTAAGCGATGTGCTGCTGAAAAATTTTTTAGATGCAGCCGTTAGCGCTTAAATGCCCCCCCCCGCCGC